AGTGTCTTCTGTGCTCTTTACCTCCCCCGAAAATGCAGTACCTGGCTGTGTGATGGAAGCTATAAGGTACTGTAGTGTGTGTGTATACACGTACAGTCAGGTCCATAAATATTGGGACATCGGCAAAATTCTAAAATTTTTGGCTCTATACACCACCACAATGGATTTCAAATGAAACGAACAAGATGTGCTTTAACTGCAGAGTGTCAGCTTTAATTTGAGGGTATTTACATCCAAATCAGGTGAACTGTGTAGGAATTACAACAGTTTGCATATGTGCCTCCCACTTGTTAAGGGACCAAAAGTAATGGGACAATTGGCTTCTCAGCTGTTCCATGGCCAGGTGTGTGTTATTCCCTCATTATCCCAATTACAATGAGCAGATAAAAGGTACAGAGTTCATTTCAAGTGTGCTATTTGCATTTGGAATCTGTTGCTGTCAACTCTCAAAGATGAGATCCAAAGAGCTTTCACTATCAGTGAAGCAAGCCATCATTAGGCTGAAAAAACAAAACAAACCCATCAGAGAGATAGCAAAAACATTAGGCGTGGCCAAAACAACTGTTTGGAACATTCTTAAAAAGAAGGAACGCACCGGTGAGCTCAGCAACACCAAAAGACCCGGAAGACCATAGAAAAGAACTGTGGTGGATGACGAAGAATTCTTTCCCTGGTGAAAAAAAACACCCTTCACAACAGTTGGCCAGATAAAGAACACTCTCCAGGAGGTAGGTGTATGTGTGTCAAAGTCAACAATCAAGAGAAGACTTCACCAGAGTGAATACAGAGGGTTCACGACAAGATGTAAACCATTGGTGAGCCTCAAAAACAGGAAGGCCAGATTAGAGTTTGCCAAACGTCATCTAAAAAAGCCTTCACAGTTCTGGAACAACATTCTATGGACAGATGAGACCAAGATCAACTTGTACCAGAGCGATGGGAAGAAAAGAATATGGAGAAGGAAAAGAACTGCTCATGATCCTAAGCATACCACTCCATCAGTGAAGCATGGTGGTGGTAGTGTCATGGGGTGGGCATGTATGGCTGCCAATGGAACTGGTTCTCTTGCATTTATTGATGATGTGACTGCTGACAAAAGCAGCAGGATGAATTCTGAAGTGTTTCGGGCAATATTATCTGCTCATATTCAGCCAAATGCTTCACAACTCATTGGACGCCACTTCACAGTGCAGATGGACAATGATCCAAAGCATACTGCAAAAGCAACCAAAGAGTTTTTTAAGGGAAAGAAGTGGAATGTTATGCAATGGCCAAGTTAATCACCTGACCTGAATCCGATTGAGCATGCATTTCACTTGCTGAAGACAAAACTGAAGGGAAAATGCCCCAAGAACAAGCAGGAACAGAAGACAGTTGCAGTAGAGGCCTGGCAGAGCATCACCAGGGATGAAACCCAGCGTCTGGTGATGTCTATGCGTTCCAGACTTCAGGCTGTAATTGACTGCAAAGTATTTGCAACCAAGTATTAAAATGTGAAAGTTTGATTTATGATTATTATTCTGTCCCATTACTTTTGGTCTCTTAACAAGTGGGAGGCACATATGCAAACTGTTGTAATTCCTACACCGTTCACCTGATTTGGATATAAATACCCTCAAATTAAAGCTGACAGTCTGCAGTTAAAGCACATCTTGTTCGTTTCATTTCAAATCCACTGTGGTGGTGTATAGAGCCAAAAATGTTAGAATTGTGTCGATGTCCCAATATTTATGGACCTGACTGTATGTGTGTAAACACGTGTCTATGTATGTACATGTATCTGTGTGTGTACATGCATTTGTATGTTTGTTTTTATGTGCGTGCGTGTATGTATGTTACGTTTAATCTTGACCCCTATTTCTGTCCTTTCAGAACTCCTTTTTTAGAATTTGATCGTAATAGCAGCAAGGACTGCTGCTCCTCTGAAAAGCAATCCATGCTCAGATCACTTTGCAGAGGTATTTGACAGGTGGTAAAGAGGCAATATGTTGCCTCCTCACCACCTGTTTTAACCCCATAAAAAGCAGCATCACCAAACCACAATCGCGTGCAATGCACACACAGTTGCGGGGTGGTTGTAGTTCAACCCCATTCACCTGGAGGTATACTTCCAGCTGCGGCAACAGCATGCATATACCCCCAGCTGCTTCTTCAGCTAAAGGGGGAGCTGTTGTAGGTGGCAAAAGCAGCTCAATTGCATGGTTCTACCACCCTCCAACCTCACAGGTGAACAAGCCATTGGTTCACATCTGTGTTGCTGTGTGTAGGGCAGCCAATTCATTTCAGTGGGCTACCTTACTCACAGAAATTCAGTGAAAGTCATCTCTGACCATTTTTTTTTTTAAATTGCACCACACCAAAAACACCAAGGTCTGTTCTTCCTACCATCAGGAGACCTACCCTGCCATGCAGCCATCTATTAGGGACATGCATATAGACAGAAGTGGTTACAAAAAGGCTGAAGGATATCAGCAGCACTGAGATGCAACAAAAGATGAAAAAAAGGTGTAAGTATTTAGAATCAAATTGCCCAACTGAATGTCGTGCAGTTAGGATTTGCATATACTTTAAGATTCTACTTCAGAATGATGGGCAGGCAGCTCAAGCATGGGATGCCGTGTATAATGGTAGTTTTTGTTGTTTCCAGGGAATGATTTTTTATGGCTTTAGAAAACATTGGTGTTAAAGTGGAACTCTTTCAATTAGTATCAACTATTTTTAATCCTTATACAACTAGCCTTAGTAAATAGACAGGAAGATATAGTATATTTACTGGTTTTAAACTTTTTTTTTTTTTTTTTTTTTTACAGCTGCTTCCTAGTTTCTGACCTAGGCCAAAATGATGCCATACATCTCATCTGGAAGAGGGGTTTTCTCAACTAATCCCACTCTCCTGACTGCATGCCTGAGCTAAAAGCAGATGGAGACCAAGAAGTAAATGCTAATCATTTGTCCCCACTCAAGATGACCGTGACTAGAAATGCTAGGGGCTGTTTTTTTAAGTGATTTCTCAACAAAATAAAGCATGGAGACATGGGTGAATGTGCTATGAAAAATTAAAAATGTGTTTGGGGCTCAGATACAGTTAAGGTAAGATGTCAAGTTCTGAATGCAGCTGAAAGCTATAATTCCATGTCCATACAATTACACAAACACTAAATGTGGTATCTCTAGTACTTTGATAGCATTATATAGGCAGGAAATTTCCTTTAAAGGGTTGTAGCTATGCAATTACAGACAGTCCTAGGGATTCATAAAGAGTGTCTTAGACACTCTTTAAAATTCGGTCGTGTCTCCAAACAACAAATGTCAGTGCCTGTGACCAATTCAGGTACCTGTCAGAAATGGGTACATTAATTTGTTGCATGGAGGGAGTGGCACTGAGGCCAGAGTGTCTATACTGGACTGACCCCACCCCAGAGTTTTAGCAGCATTGGTTGCTGAGACGCTGTGGGCTGTGCAGTCAACCATACATAACAACCAATGGCTCAACCCTGGCCCCATTCAGCTGCTGGGTGGGAGATTCCCTGTCTGACAGCTGAAAATAAAATAAGGAATGATGATCCAAATAAAATAATAATGAAACATAAAGTGATAATTGAGTACTCCTTTTCTCTGCCAGCCCTGTCTAGATCACTTTAATCATGATACGGCAGTGTTCTCTGTGCTCAGTGTGGCTTCTCCCCACTTAGCCGTAACATTGTACCTGCCGTCTCCCAGGAAAGCTTGGATGCTGAGCAGTAATTAGTACCTCACTACTGCTCAGATGTCACAGCCCCATATGAGAAAAGAATGAGTGTGGGAATAATCCACTCTGGGCACAGGGAACATTGTAAAAGTGCTGAATTATCATTTTGTGTTTGATTTTTACTTTTTTGGATCGACACCCCATTTCTTTACTTTTAGTTGTCAGCAGGGGAATTGCCCAGCCAGCAATTGAGTGGGGCTGGGGATGAGTCATTGGTTGCTATGATGCTGACAGACACCGCAGCTTCATAATAAGGTAGCCCTGTGCAAGAAGTGGTCATGCTCATGACAGCTTCCCAGCACAAAATGCCTCACTCTGACAACTAGTCTACCTCTATACACCAGCTCAGAGTTGGTTTTAAATACCCCAGTTTGCGAATTTGCAAATTGGAGTTAATTCCTTAAAGAAGAACTAAACCCATCGATTTAACGGTTTCTATACAGTTACATTCAAGGCATGCCATGAATGATAACTGTCACAGTTCTTGTGTTTTCAACTGAACTGTCAAGCCATCAAATTGCTGGTGCCATAACTGATCACACGTGCAGCACCATGGCAGCTGCAGATAAAACAGAGGCTAAAATGGCAGCTTCCTTGGCTGTAAACTATAGGCGATATTAGTTCCACTTTAAGAATTTCTTAAAGCACCGCTACCAAAAAATACCTGAATCTTGTGCAGGTGTTGGTAAAATTACCAAAACTGTTGCAAGGCTTTCCTGATAATGGCACAGGCCCTTTTAAAGGGTCCATACCAAAAACTGTTGCAAAGGCTTTACTGAATTCCCTCCAGTATGAGCCTTTATAATTCCTGCTCCCCACCTATGCATTTTTTTGTAAGAAAAATGCACCTCTGTATTTTCATCTTATATTTGTACGCAAGTCAGTTCTTTTAGATACAGTTAATATAGAGGAGTATATATTTTGTTTTCAAAAGATTCTCCTTAGCCAGAAGGAGCTATCATAAATCATTACATATTTTACATAATTTGTAACTATAAATCTAAACTGCTTTTCTTTTTATGGGATTTTCTGACTAACCTGCTACATTTTTTTTTTTACTTTGCAGTCAACACAGAACAAATATGCTTACAGTCAGTTGTGCCACAAAATAGCAAAAATTTTCATATAAACTTAAAAAATGGAAACATCATTGGCCATGAGTCATTTGCAAAATGTAAAAACAGGTATATCCTTTCTATTTTTGAAGTTTCTAAGATAAGTGGAAGATGAGTATAGACTACTTTGCTCATTGTCAGTTACTGTTTTGTGAAGTCAGCTCTTGAGAGATGAATCGTTTCAGACGTTCCAAATATTGGCTGTACAGCTCAATGTCGTTATGCCCAGCACCCTCTACCCAAAGAGGTTCAACGGTTTTGGGACAGCGTTCATAAAGGGCCAGACCATGAGAGAAATCAATCACTTCATCTTCTGTTCCATGAATTATCAACACTGGTGATGTTATCTTGGAAACCTTTTCAATGCTACCAGAAAAAAAAAAAAAAAGAAAACAGAATGTAAATTAGTAAAAGTGAAACTATCAAATAATTTTGTACAGAGCATTAAAAAGTCTACATACTTGTGTCATATGTTTCCCAAAGTGTATATATTGCCAAAAACTTTTTTTACTTCATTTTGGAAAGAATGTGGAAAGTTAACAAAACCTGTCAACTTACCTTATTCTTCACTTCTGCAGGCTTCCAACCTACTGTACAAATAGTCCCACAAAGCCCCCCTCTTTGCCGGTCTTGTGGCTGTAAGCATTATACAAGACATTGATGGTCCATCCACATACCAGTAGCAGGGAAAAGCAGGGAACAAGGTATTGCTTTGCTTTAAAATTCCCATAGATTAAATGTGCATTAAATGCATTACTGCGCATTGTGTTTACACAGAAGGATAGATGGTTTTGACCACACTGGAATGAGTTGCGATAAAATGTGTTGACATGCATGCTTTGACACAATAGGCACACATAAACCATAAATTATAGAAAGGGAGGCAGGAGGAAAGTAGAGGTACACTAAATTTCAAAAGGGCCAACATTACTAAGCTGTGTTCCATGCTACAGTATATGAAATGGGATAACATTCTTGCAACAAGGAACACTGAAGAAAAGTGGGAATGCTTTAAGGTAATTTAAAACAAAGAAATTTGTTAGTGCATTCCACAGGGCAACAAATATAAAATAACAAAAGTTAAACCTGGGTAGCTAATGTGATATGCAGGTTGTTTAGCTCAGTGGTAGATGTGCTTTTAGTGAATCATGCCAGCCCATTTTGTTTGAAAAAGTAAATTTCTTGCATCATGTTACCGACGTGGGGGATTTTCATCAACAAGTAAAGAAAATTCTAACCCACCTGCCTCACTCTTCAGCAGCTCCGCTGCTTTGCTCATTGGTCCCTCAGACCTTATCTCCAGCTCTCCTGGCTCACTCATTCACATGCCTACAGTTACAGCATCCAAGTACATAGGCCCACTCCCTGGCCTCTCAATATGGGATCTCCTGGCTCTCTCACTCAACCAAGATTCACAGATTCCCTCAGTCCCCTGGCCTCGCCTAGTCATCTTAGCTTTCCCAGTCTCCCAAACTCACTCAGCTGTGCTGACTCCCCAGTATTGTGGGCAAGGAATCTCTCCAACACAGAGTACGGTCTCCTTAGTAGATCACCTCTTCTCTTTCAAAATGGGAGCACACAACTGTCTCCTGACGGTGCCCACCTCCCTCATTGCTGGAGCATTGAGCTATGGACAGACCTTGCTTATAATAAGTGTGCACATCTACATCTTCACACAACCTAGACACAAGATTGAAGGCTTTGCCCCAACCTAGATTTTTTGAAGCTTTCAAGCTTCAGATTCTGATGCAGGATTACAAAACCCAGAAAAAGCGGAATACAAAGTTTTCTACTCTCAATCACAACACTCCTGAGCCACGCCACGCTCGGCATTAGTGTGAACAGTTTCGAGTTTCTCTATACTCACCCAGTTGCAGGGCCTAGAACTGTCATACTATATAATAAGGTAAAAAGACATATTAAATGAGAAAAGCTGTATTTTAAAAATATAAGAGCCAGCATCAGTATTCCAGAACTGCAAAGAATGCAATAAAATGCAAGAGACGGCTAAAATAGATCACGAAAGACACACTGCTGAAGTAAAAAAAAAAAAAAAAATCCAAAATTTTTTTAAATTAATCGGTAAGGTAAGAACATATTAGCTCATTAAAGATGATCAGAGGAAGCTGGTCACAATTGACAGGGAGAAGGCAACTGTATTAAACACATTCCTCTCAGTTTAGATGAATGAAGCAGCAGTATAACAAACAACACAGTAATGCTAATAACATTATTTTGAATGCACCCTGTGGCTAGTGAAGACCTGTGTTAAAAAAAAAAAAGACTAGAGAAATGTAATGTGAATAAATCACCCAGACCAGATACACCCGTCTCAAAGAACTTAGCCACGTCACAGCTAGACCACTGTCCTAAGTCCTCATGCACACTGGACATTTTTACAGCTGCTGTTTTTGGCTTTTGACATTTTTTTCTATAGCCAGTAAACCCCCCAGCATTTTATCCTATGTGTCCATGCACACATAGACTGTAATCAATGTTTTTTGGGAGGAACGTTTTTTGGCTGGAAAAAAAACCCAGGACTAGTGGGTTTCTACAGGAGTTTTTTAGCTGTAAAAATGCTCTAACGCTGAAAAATGCAGCAAAACGCGGTAAAACGCAGTAAATAGCTGCAAACCAGCGTTTTTGGACTTTTTTGTACTAAAAAAAAAACATGAAAATGCAAAACATGAAAAAACATGGCAACATGGCGCTAAAAGCGAATACAAAAACGCTAAAAAACTCACATTTTTAACGTGACTTTACACAGCTAACGTTACCAGTGTTATTAAAATGCCCAGTGTGCATGGAGCTTCATTATTAATGACAGTTTGATTGTAATGGTACCATAATATTGGTGAAAAGCTAACATGCTACCAATATTCAAAAAAGGGCCAACACATATACCCGGAAATTGCAGACCAGTAAGCCCAACATCAAAATTATGTAAACTATTGGAAGGAATGATAACGGTCCATATCCAGGAATTTGCTGATGACAATAGTTTCATTAGTAGTAACCAGCATGTATTTATGAAAGACCGTTCTTGCCAGATAAAGGTTTTAACATTCTCCGAGGAGGTAAGCTGTAATTTGGAAAAAAGAAGCCTGTGGACATAGTTTATTTATATTTTGCTAAGGAATTTGATACTGTACCCCAAACACACTTAATTTACAAATTAAGGTCTTTTGGCATTGATAACCTTGTATGTACCGGGAAAGAAAACTGGTCTAGAGGGTGGCGAGTAATGTCATATTTTCTGAATGGTCTAGAATTGTGAGTGTTGTGCATCAGGGCTCTGTCCTGGGACCAGTTCTGTTTATCTTATTCTTAAACGATAGAGAGAATGGAATAGATAGTTCAATCTCAGTGTTTGTTGATGATACAAAGCTAAGCAGGGCATTAACTTTACAACATGATATAGCAACTTTACAAGAAGTCTTCGTTAAAATAGAGGGATAAGCAGCTACATGGCAAATGAGGTTTAATATGGAAAAATGTAAAGTAACGTACTTGGGACCCAACAAGCTGACAGAGTCTGCAATCAAATGCCAAGCTCCAGAGTCTGCTTGCATACTATCATCATGCCCTAAAAAGAGTATTTACTCAAGACAAATCTATTTCTACCACTTTACAAAACACTGGTTTAGCCACATCTTGAATATTCCATCCAGTTTTTGATCAGAGATCCTCAGGAAGGATGTCCTTGAACTGGACAGAGAAGGGCAACAAAACTAATAAGGGGACTGTAGGACCTCAGTTATGAGGAATGACTACAAACATTAAAATTATTCTCGCTTAAGATCGGATATGATCACAATATACAAATCTTTCACTTTAAAAAAAAAACAAATTTATTAAAAAAAAAATAACAGAAAAATGAAAACAGTGGTACATAATAACTCAAATATGCCAATTGTTTAGCCCTGTAGGCCATTCAACTTCACAAAGTAGCACCATACCATTACATTGGACTTAAACCAACATATAGATATTCAAGAAATACATTGTGTTAGAAGCGAATAGTAGTCAATATACAATAATATAACGTGCAGCTCAAAAGTCACAATATACAAATCTTTAAATGGTTACTGTATCATTGAGAGAAAACTATTTAATCTTAGGTCTTTAAAGAAGAGACATGGCCACACAATGAAGCTGGATGAAAGGCAGTTTAATCGGGGGGGAGTGTCCAAGATGGCGATCAGAGCAGATGCTTAATCCCGAGCTCCGGCACCCTGCAACTTAATTCGCTGCCATCAGGGCAGCAGCGGGATATAGTCAGTCACCGGAGGTCCTGTGGCCTCTGTTTGACACCTGAGGAGGGGTGCTGGGCGTTTTAGTCCCCCCTCCGGAGCTCCAAAAATTGCGGCCTACGCGGCCTGTGAAGCTGCGGTCTTTCCTGCTTTCACGGCCAGAACGGGCCGCCGCCCCTGCTATCAGGTCGGCTGCTGGGGCGGTCTATGTGTGAATCCTTGGCCTCTATATCGGTTCCAGGGACCGCATCAGGCCTGCACATTTTCCAATAGGGCCTGGAAGCCCTCTGATGTGGAAGAGATGCCCCCGACAGGTCTGGAAGCCTACCCCATCAGTCTCCTTTCCATAAGGGGTGAACCAGAAGCCCATGTCCTCTCTTGCGGGTCTTCATCACCACCGTCCGCCTGACCTTTCGTGGACCCACGCGCTCCACCTGTCGCTGTATTTCTGAGGCTTATGACCGCTCTGCCTGGGTCTTCATCACCCTAAGGAAGGTATTGTTACAGCTACAACTGCAGCCTATATCTACCCCTCCCTCTCCATTGTGATAATCTTTGCTACAATTAAATGGTTATGGCGGGACGCACGAAGTGTTCCGCAGCAATGGATCTTATGTAAAAGCAAACTCGTTGGGGGGCACGCACGCGTCACAAGGGAAGATGACCATTTGATCTCCCTGCGCCGTGCCACCGGAACACATACCTCGGCAATCGGGCTTCTACGCCCCTGCGTATAATTTCAACCGGTTGAAGGTGCTTGTGAAATACCTGGGCTTTACCTAAAAATACATCGTACCCCACGCAACAAACCCAAACACCGGGCCCAGCAGCAATCTCCTCCGCATAGCCACACTGGCAAGATAATGCCCAGCCCCCCAGAGCCTGATGACATCACGCAGCTTACAGGGGATCCACAGTCGGATGGCGATAGCAGCAATTCCCACCGGGACTGACCGTCCCCATTGAACAAAACCCTGAAGCCTTGTTACACAAATTCTGCGTGATAGTGCGTGAAGAGATTACAGTTGCCTCTCGTAAATTATCTTCTGATCTGGTAAAAGGCCTAAAAGAATTGGGTCACCGTGCCCATCAACTAGAACAACATATGGATTT